AAAATCTTGCTTGAATTTTCACTTTAACTTTTGTAGAAGTGTTTTTAAGCTGCTTCAAATCTCGTCTGAAAAGTTATTGAGGATATAGTACCCTAAAATAGAATTCATTAATTTCAACAAATAACATGGCTAGCAATAAACTACTCATTGGATGTCTTCTTCATTAGAGTTAATGAAAATAATTGTGTGAAGCCCTGTGCTTTGGAATGTTTTCATCTGGCCATGGACCTAGGAATTCTTGCCATTGGGTTTTCATATTGTTCTTCTCTGTTCTCCTCCTGACTTAATGTGTTGTACATCAGAGAAGAGATAGAAGATCTGTGAGTATCTATGGCAATGTTTCTACAGCATCAAAAAAAAAAAGTGTGGTGAGGGCTGGAGAGATAGCTCAGAAATTAAGGACACTTGCTGCTCTTGCAGAAGATCCAGGTTCAGATCCCAGAACCAATGTCAGTGACTCATAATTGCCTGTAAGTACAGCTACAGGAGCTTCAGCACCCTCTTCTGGCCTCTGGGAGCTCATACACTATGGAGCATATACATACATACACATAAATTTAAAATAAAATCAAATAAAGAGAGTGGTTTCTTTACTGTTTTGTGTTTTGTGATATATGTGCACATATATGTGCAGGCATGAAGACCCATCCATACATATGACCCATCCATACATATTCTGAGGACAGAAGATGACATCGACTGTCCTATTCTACAACTTCCCACCTTATACCCTTGAGACCAGGCCTTTCTCTGAACCTGAAGCTTGGGCTGGCAGCCAACAAAGCCCCAGTGAGCCACCTGACTACTCCCCATCCCCTACAAGCATAGAACCGCAGGCACTCACAGCCATGCCTGGCTTTTTATGTAGGTACTAGGGACTCAAACCCACATTCCCATAGTTTCACAGCAAGCACTTCTACCCACTGATCCATCTCCTCTCTCACCTCTTTCTCTTTTAAAAAAGACACCCTGAAAGTATCATTCTGTGTTCCCAAGCCTCCATCTAACCCTCTCCATTAGTCTCCCAAGCTTGATGCATTCTTGCCTCAGATTGGACTAAGGGCAACGGGAACTTTGTCTGGCTCCAAAGATTAGGTAGACAGAAAGACAGACAAACAGACAAACAGACATTATTACTATCTACTTTTAATGTGAAGAAAATATTAGGGGTTGCAGAGAAGATTCAGCAGCTAAGAGCACTTGTTGCTCTTTTTTTTTTCTTTTCTTTTTTTTTATTGGATATTTTATTTACATTTCATATGTTATCCCCTTACCCCATCCCCCACCCACCCGGAACCCCCCTATTCCCTCACCCCTCCTCCTTCTTCTCTGCAGATGTAACCCCCACCTACCCCCCCCACTCCCACTTCCCCACCCTCAAAATTCCCACCCCCTGGGGCGTCCAGCCTTCATGAGGTCAAGGATCTCATCTTCCACCTATGCCCAGCAGGGCCCTCTCTTACTCTTACATATTCAGCTGAAGTCCTGGATTCCTCCCTAAGTGCTCCCAGGCTGGTGGTTAGGACCCTGGGAGCTGTGGTTGGTTGCTATTGTTGCTCTCCTCATGGTGCCACAAACCCTTTCAGCTCCTTCAGTCCTCACTCTAACCCCTCCATTGAGAACCTCATGATCAGTTCAATGGCTAGTTGTGAGCATCTGCCTCTGAATATGTCAGACTCTTGAAGACCTCTGAGGAGACATCCATATCAGGCTCTTATCAGCATGCACTTCCTGACTGCTACATCAGCATCTACCTTTGGTGACTGCACATGGGATGGATACTCAGGTGGAATGGTCCTCAGATGGCCCTTCCTTCAGTTTCTTTCTGTCCCTCACTATGTCTCCATATTTGTTCCCTTGAGTATTTTGTTGCTCCTTCTAAGAAGGACCGAATCACCCCCACTTGGTCTTCCTTCTTCATGAGCTTCATGTGGCCTGTGAGTTGCATCTTGGGCATTTCAAGCTTCTGGGCTAATATCCAATAATCAGTGAGTGAATACCATGTGTGTTCTTTTGTGATTGGCTTACTTCACTCAGGATGATAATTTCTAGTTCCATCCATTTACCTAGGAAACTGTCGAATTCATTGTTTTTAATAGCTGAGTAATACTCCATTGTGTAAATATACCACATTTTTTTAATCCATTCCTCAGTTGAAGGACATCTGGGTTCTTTCCAGCTCCTAGCTATTATAAATAAGGCTGCTATGAACATAGTTGAGCATATGTCCTTGTTATATGTTCGAGCATCTTCTGGGTATATGCCTAGGAGTGGTATAGCTGGATCCTCAGGTAATGCTATGTCCAATTTTCTGAGGAACCGACACACTGATTTCCAAAGTGGTTGCACCATCTTGCAGTCCCACCAACAATGGAGGAGTGTTCCTCTTTCTCCACACCCTCGCCAGCATCTACTATCACCTGAGTTCTTAATCTTAGCCATTCTGACTGGTGTGAGATGGAATCTCAGGGTTGTTTTGATTTACATTTCCCTGATGACTAAGGACATTGAACATTTCTTTAGGTGCTTCTCGGCCATTCGAGTTTCTTCCATTGAAAATTCTTTGTTAAGCTCTATACCCCATTTTTTAATACGGTTATTTGGTTGTCTGGTGTCTACTTTCTTGAGTTCTTTGTATATATTGGATATTAGCCCTCTATCAGATGTAGGATTGGTAAAGATCTTTTCCCAATTTGTTGGTTGTCGTTTTGTCCTATTGACAGTGTCCTTTGCCTTACAGAAACTTTGCAATTTTATGAAGTCCCATTTGTCAATTCTTGATCTTAGAGCATATGCCATTGGTGTTCTGTTCAGGAACTTTTCCCCTGTGCCCAAGTATTCGAGGCTCTTCCCCACCTTCTCTTCTATTAGTTTCAGTGTATCTGGTTTTATGTGGAGGTCCTTTATCCACTTAAACTTGAGCTTTGTACAAGGAGATAAGAATGGATCAATTTTCATTCTTCTACATGTTGTCCTCCAGTTGAACCAGCACCATTTGTTGAAAATGCTGTCCTTTTTCCACTGGATGGACAGTTTTAGCTCCTTTGTCAAAGATCAAGTGACCATAGGAGTGTGGGTTCATTTCTGGGTCTTCAATTCTATTCCATTGATCTTCCTGCCTGTCTCTGTACCAATACCAGGTAGTTTTTATCACTATTGCTCTGTAGTACAGCTTGAGGTCAAGGATGATGATTCCTCCAGAAGTTCTTTTATTGTTGAGAATAGTTTTCGCTATCCTGGGTTTTTTGTTATTCCATATGAATTTGAGAATTTCCTTTTCTTACTCTGTGAATAATTGAGTTGGGATTTTAATGGGGATTGCATTGAATCTGTAGATTGCTTTTGGCAAGATGGCCATTTTTATTATATTAATCCTGCCAATCCATGAGCATGGGAGATCTTTCCATCTTCTGAGATCTTCTTCAATTTCTTTCTTCAGGGACTTGAAGTTCTTGTCATACAGGTCTTTCACTTGCTTGGTTAGATTCACACCAAGGTATTTCATATTATTTGCAACTATTGTGAAGGGTGTCATTTCCCTAATTTCTTTTTCAGTCTGTTTATCTTTCATGTAGAGGAAGGCTACTGATTTGTTTGAGTTGATTTTATAACCAGCCACTTTGCTGAAGTTGTTTATCAGGTTTAGGAGTTCTCTGGTGGAAGTTTGGGGATCACTTAAGTATACTATCATATCATCTGCAAATAGCGATATTTTGACTTCTTCCTTTCCTATTTGTATCCCTTTGACTTCTTTTTG